ATGTCAAAAATGGAAGAGTTACTGTAGCTCTTGAGCTTGAGGAGAAGGCCAGAATGTCAAAAATGGACGAGTTACCGTAGCTCTTGAGCATGTGGAGAAGGCCAGAGTGTCAAAAATGGGCGAGTTACCGTAGCTCTTGAGATTGTGGAGAAGGCCAGAGTGTCAAAAATTGACGAGTTAATCTTAATGCAAAGGCAAGAATGGAACAAGACAGTGGTATAATCGGCAAGTGTCGATTGGGGTGGTACAACGAACGTGGAGAGAAATGGTACCATTGGCGTACAACGAACGTCAAAATAAGAGCCAGCACCTGGTTTCGAGTCTACTTTGTCATTTATGGACATGGAAAAGCCCAAGAAATGATACAGGAATCAGATAGGAACCTAACAAATCATTAAAAGATTTACAAATGCAGTTCTACACACTTAAATATACTCAAACGCGAATTGTCGGTGTTGAGATCACCTCCCAGTTATATGCAAACTACGGTTAAAATTACAGAAACTAAAGAAATTTACAGCAACGCCTAAAATACAATACAACAGATTCCAAGACGACTCAATTTGCAAACATACATATGCTGATATAGTTGAAAACAAATATTTAAAAAAATTCGAAGTCAGTTACTTAATGTGGAAAACCTTAACGGAATCAGTAGTGACATCGGCAAACAAGTTCTTTCCAAGTAAAGAAAGACAAGAAAGAAGTTGATGGCAGCTGAAATTCTAGAACTAAGGAAAAAGATACGACAAATAATACAAAGAAACGCTAGAAATATACGATACTAAGCAAAGATATTACAAATGAATGCCAGCAAAAAAAAAGATGAATGGCCCTACAATAAATTTGCAGAGAGAAAAAAAACTACGAAATATTAACATAGCAGGCACGCGTACAGACAAAAGAAATAACAAGACAAAAAATTCTCTTCGACAGGATGATTAAAATTCACAAAAGGAACTCTCATAATACAAATAGGAAAAATACTACGAAGATGGAACGCGTACATTGGAAAATGCTTCTGTGATGAAAAGATCCGTAGCATTTAAACCTGAAGCAAATTGAGTGAGATAAACTGTAAAAATAAAGCTTGACTGGATGGCATTTTAATAGAGATGCTGTCAGCCTTAAACAATTTAGGAGTCAGCAAAATTACTGATGAAATCAAATATATGACAGCGGCGAAATACCGGAAGTCTTCAGAAGCTCAATCATAACGCGGTCAACGAAAGTAGGTGCAAATTTTCATTTGCATCTACTTTCGTTGACCTAGCTTCTGAAGACTTATAAGAAAATAAGAAAATCAGCTTAAAGATCCACTAAACTTACCATGAGTTTTCTAATGAGTAGATCCAGAAGCAGAATCAGACTGGAAATGAAGCAAGATCAGTGTGGCTTGCTTCATGACGCGAGAACAAGGGATGCTATCCTAATGTTTAGAATCTCGGCTCTAGTTACTTCCCACCGCCGTAATGTAGCTTTCCTCTACGCTTATAAATATAACATAGACTTGATGAATTTAAGTGCAGTACTAGATTGGTGGCAAGGTCTCATCATTTTACAGTTGAAATGGCTAGATGTAACCGTAAGTTCTATGTTAACAGTTTATTTTCTCGCACTTTTTGCTCGTGGAACTCTCCTCCGGCCTCTGGATTTCTAGTGAACTTAGACCTTCTAAATGTTAAATGCAGTGTAACTATCTTCTGTCTTCTTGATTCCTGTTTTTTTATTCTTCTCTCTTAATGTTTTCTTTTTCTCATATTCTCTCCTATTCAGTAGCTCCTTGAATTTTAGCGGCTTTATTGCCTTGCCTAGACTGAATTATTAAAACAATGCTGTAGAGCGAGTTATGGAAATGCGGAAAAATGATTTTAAAAAAATGCACAAAAATATTTGGTGAAATACGACACAAAGAACTACTTTAAATGCTAGGAAAGCTTTATTTCTATAGGAAATATTTTCGAATAACATAAATAATATGTCATATGATATAGAATAAGTTAATACATAAAACTAAAAAAAAAAAAATGTAAGACATGAGTGCGTTTGCTCGGTGTATTTATTTAATCTATGTAGTGAACAATCGTAAGGGAACTAGTGGTCCTGCTAGGAATCGGTTAACATAATCTTAAGAACATAAGATACATAGAATGAAATCTGAAAAAGACTCTTAGAAAACATAGTTAGCCTTGGGAATACCAGGTGCTGTATGCTTGGATGTGTGTGTGGTTTAATGGATAATGGCTCGGAATTATTAATCGGAGAGCGGAGTTCCAATTCCAGTTAGGTCTGTAATGTTCACTTAGGCACAAATACCTTTAGCAAGGTATGAAACCACCTCCCCCAGCTATGGGTTAACTAGTAGCTTGTGTCACTAAATGATCATCTCAATTATTTTTTAAATCTAAAAACATTTTCTGGCTTCAAATGACATACAAAGAGTTGATAAACCCTAAAAACAAATCAATCTATTAATCTCTAAATATTTGTATATATCAATTAGAGTTTATTGATAGTCTATCTAAACCTGATTTTCCATGCATCCTGGACTGTAAGGCGTCCTGAGTATGACGATAAACTACATCCGGCAGCAAGTCCGCTGATCGGGAGGTTTTGAGGAGCGTGGAACCATCTCTTAATTGCTGGTGTTCGCAGGTCAACACTGACCTGGGGTGGTCCCAGCTATGGCCAAATAGTTCACCCCACCAAACTGGGGTCAAAACACTATGAAAGTATAAAAATAGATTTTTATAATAAACATACCAGCAATACATTTTGTAAAAACAATATTACCAGCAATACAGTAGACTCTCAACAAAAAACCTCTTTACATAAATACGTCAATGAAATCTCGTCTACAAACTGATTTCTTACAAATAATTATTCTCTTCACACGAACCTATCCTAAAATTTTTGTCCGCATTAAATAACCCATTGAGGTGTTGATATGCCGTAAAAGAAAATAAACCAAACCAAACCGGACTGTATGGCTTCCGGTCTGAATGTCTTCTTGCTTTGTGTTTGTTTTTGTCTTTCGTTTTCAGATAAGACAGTGTTGATAGCAGATACAGGAAGAAAACTACAAGATCTTCTAAAGAGGATAATAAAAGAAAAGCGAGAAAAAGGGACTAACTATCGATTGTAGGGAGACAGGATGTATGGTTGTCAGGAAAAAGTAGAGCCCAATATCCAAATTAGAAATTGGAGATACATAAATCAATCAAATAAAAAGAATTAAATATCTAGTAAGGACTTTTAAAAAGGACGGGCAAGTGCGACACTGAAATCTGAAGTCGTATTGAAATAGCGAAAGATGATTTCAAAACGCTAAGCAAAGTATAAAGACGCAGTTAAATTTCGTTAGGAAAAAAAGGGTACGGAACTGTTACGTACCAAAGGTCCTCTTTTACGGGAGCGAATGCTGGATAGTCTTTTCATATGTGAAGAAGAGATCTAAGGCAACAGAAATATGGTTCTACAGAAGGATGCTGAGAATACCTGAATATGTAAGCAACGAAGAAATTTTTAAAGAAAATACAAACAAGGAGGACACATATAGTTGACATCAGATAGAAGCATTTCAAATTTCTTGGCATATAATAAGGAAAGAGGGTTTGGAAACTGTGATACTCACATGACATAATGAAGTCAGGCGGGAGAGAGAAAAACAGCGCAAAAACAGACGAGCTTTTATAAATGGTTGACAGAGCCGGAATTAGCAATGATAACAAAAGTCAATGTCTATATTGATTATTTGATGCATCAAAAAAGGTACACTCTGAGAGAAGAATAGAAAGAGGAAATTGTGGAGAGCAGTGATCGCCCACGTTCTGAACGAACACGGAAAATAGAAGAAAAATATTTGTCTCTTTTTATTCATTTAATTATTTTTCTATAGTCTTATTCCCAACTAATCGATAAACGTTGATTGTAATCTGTTACAAAGACGGACATCGCTACAAAACCAAGTAAACTACAGTAACCTGCCCGGCAGTCAACAAATAAATTCTGTTCCACCCCCATTCTATCTACTGTTAGCGTCTTGCGGTTTGGCAGACTAGCCATTAGAACCACATCTCAGACCGCGCTCTTTCGTGATCCAACAAGATAGCCTCAGGATTTCCGGCATCTGTTGTATCTAAAAATCTAATGCTTAATGGCACTTACACGTATCGGAAATAACAAGAATCTTCTGGCAAAAATGGAAGTAGTTTTCAGCCATCTTTGTGGTAAATAGTAATTGAGGAACCGACAGTTTTAGCATAAAGGCATTCCAAGTAGAATTGAGTAGATGTAAAGATAAGAATAAGTAAAATACTAAGCGGTTTTACAAAGTATAAACCTGTAAACAGAAATTTAAATCATGTTATCATCGTCTCTCTCTCTCTCTCTCTCTCTCTCTCTCTCTCTCTCTCTCTCCCTAACGCACACTTTAATGCTTCTTTTTTACTTATTTATATAAAAGAAACATATAAGCAACAACTAGAAAAACATCTTTATAAATTTAACATGTTTCGTTATTTTATTTTAACTTCATCAGCATGTGTTATAAATCAGGCAAAACCTGAGTATTGCTGCCACATCTTGCCTGACCCTCACTTTCCAACCTCGTCCAAAAACGTTTATGTGGACTTTTGGGCGATAAATTATCTCCCACCACTCCTTTTCTCACAGATGAATTGTTGCAAGCTTCCTGTTACTCTACCGCTTTTGGTGGGAGATGCTCGAGTGAACTGCTTATCTTGGTTCTGCTAGTCCAGATCTTCAGAGGTAGGACCCACGAGACAACGTAAACTAAATCGACCCTTCCCCATCCCCTTTAAATTTCACTGTTGAGGTAGGAATTTCCATCCAGACAGTGTCTTCCACAGTCTCCCGAGAGAATGCTTCCCCGATTACTACAATCTTGGACTTTTTAAGTTTGAGATCAAACGTTATCCGTCCTACATACCTTTTATAATATGCACTTCTCTCTACCACTCCGTACGTCCTTAGGGCTTTACAGCCACAGCACTTTGAAGCACCGGTCCCCGTACGGTCACCGAAGTTAAGCAACGTTGAGCCTTCTTGGTACATAAATGAATGACCGCTTGGGAATACCAGGTGCTGTAAACTTCGATGTGCGGGTGGTGTAATGGATAATGTCTCTGAATTGTTAATCGGGGACTGAGTTCCAATTCCAGTTGGCTTCGTTATATTCACTTACGCGCAAATAACCTTGGGAAAGATCTTCTCTCCTCCATCTATGGGTTAATTAATAAGACTTTTATCATTAAACAATTATTATATCTAAAAAAATTCTTATAATATAAATATATCACTCGGCTTTAAATAACCTGCAAAGTGTTGATAAGCCGTAAAAAAACGAATCAATCAATGCACGTTTTTACGGCAACCCCGTTTCGTAACCCTCTACATTGAATGGCTCTTGGGTCTCGTATTGGGTGAATAATAGTACAAAAAATAATACAGAGAGACAAAGTAAACAGCACTAGATCACATTTGAAATACTAATACCACTCTTATCACTGGCTTCGGCTGGGGTTGTTTTAAAATTCGTTATGTTCAAGCTCCAGGTGGCCACCACCCCAAGAAGTCCCTCTTCTTCAGCAGGAGCTGGGGTCATTACCGTGTGACAGAAACATTCCAAGAAGGAGGAGTGTCGAGCGGGCTTGAGCAATTTTTCCACGTTATTGCCGTTAAACCCAGTTTAAACCTCAACTTTGTGCCACATTCGGTAGCGATGTGAACTCCGTTAAAAAATTTATTTATATATGGCCTCCTTACCACTTCCAGGCCTTTAGTGGAAAAAGGGGATATTCTGAAATATAGAAAAGTATTTTTCCTATTAGAAATATTAAATTTAATCTATTAACTTGAAATTAAAACTAAAATAAAAAGCTTCAAGAAATAGTTTTCATTTTTAAGAATTCATTTTAAGCATTTAGTATCACGTTTCTTCTAGTGTTACCTACTTTAACTGAATGTATTATCTCTATCTATAAAAGGCAGGATGTGTGTGTGTGACGAATACACGGCCACAATTTTCGACGGATTTGCACCAAAATTTACATGCACATGCACCAAGTTAGCGGGAAGGCCAAGACCGGCTTTGCATTTCCCAACTCCCATCCATTGTGGAAATAATCGATTTTTTTCATGCTTCTACGGCAGTTTTCATGTAGCTTGCGGCCATTTTCTACTGGCCAGAGTGAGAGCCTATAGCTGGCTGCCACGAATAGGCAGGAAGATTCTATTGACCAGCGTGAGAGCCAACAGCTGACTGACACGAATGTTAACTAGCATGCTAGCATGCAAAAAAAATCGATAGCTGCATTCGTCACAAGTGGGAAAAATTTAAATCTGCATGGCACTTTACTCCAATTGGCTCATTCGCTTGCTTAAACTCAACGTTGATTCTGGTTCCGCAGAACTGGGTTGGGTGTGAAAAAGTATTTGTTGTTAACATTTTTTTTTCATTCGGTTTTTCCAGTTACGAGTCCTTTTTTAAATCTGATCGTTTTGTGTTCATTTTGTTTAGTTCTTTTTTCGTAACAGATTTAATGTTTAGTATAGAGCTTAGAAAAAATTCGCAGTGTGAGATAGGCAAGAAGTAAGGCATGTAGCAACATCAGCACGGAAAAGGGCACTCCTTTAAAGGCAAGGAAGGGCAAACATATTTTAAGTCAAGTGATAGCGATTGCTGTATGGGTCGTACGATTTTTGAATCAAGCACGGGCAACGCCGGGCCATGCTGCTAGTTTATACTATTTACATTCAGAATATTGTACTTAAGTTTTGTATTTGATGTATTTTTGTTTAATTTCTTTGAAAAGTTATAATATATCTATCCTTCTCATAGAGTCTGCCATTTTATGATGGTTCGAATAACCATTATATACATGTTTCCGTTTTTTCTCTGAGTGTGCCTTTCGAAAAGTTAGAATAGTTTTATCCTTCTCTCAGAGTGTACCTTTAAGAAAAATAGAATATATTCCTCCTTGTTTGCAACCTCTCTAAGACCTCATTGTTGCTCACACGCTCGATCCATGATATCCTCAACATCCTTCTGTAGAACCACATTTCTGTCGCCTCGTGACTCTTCTTCATCTTTGAGGAGACCGTCCAACATTCGCTGCCGTAAAAGAGGACAGATACATGATGAGGATTTTAACCGAGCGTGTGAGCAACGATGAGGTCTGAGAGAGGTTGCAAAGAAGGAGAAGGCTTACAATTAACATCAGGAAGAGGCAGCTGAAGTTTCTGGGACACCTAGTGAGGAAGGAGGGCCTGGAGAATCTGATACTCACGGGTCGAGTAGAGGGAAAGAGAGACAACGGAAAGCACCGCATGACATACCTAGCGGGCTTAAGCAAGTGGGTGACAGACGTGGTCTGGGGGAGGAAGCAGAGGGAAAGAACTTGTTGAGAATTGCAAGGGATAGAGGGAGGTGGAGAGCCATGATCGCCTACGTCCTGAAAGGACATGGCACATAAAAAGAAAGTTTATTTACGAATTGGTAGCGTCATCCTATTTGCCTAGTCGAAGAAAAGCAAAGTCTATAGTTTTGACGGCCAAGCCCACCATTAACTGATCCCGACTGAAAGTAACGCAAGCAAAATAACATCTCTTGTTGCTTGAATTTCGAAAAATTTCGACTAAGCAGAATTTTTGAAAAATACAAAAATGCATAAACATTACGTAGCCCAATCTTCTTTTCAAATTATGCGTATTCAGAAAATACAGTTCGTTTTCGTTAATATTTAAAAATGCTTCCATTTTTAATGTCACCCTTTTAATCAAAAAAATTATGCGCTCGTGATCGAATAGTTATTAATCTGACCATAAAACCCAGTTTCGAATCTCACCATAGTTTATTTACCCTGATAAGAAGTCACCTCGAGGAGACGATGCCAGCATGCATCACCGTAGGGGACTTCCTGAAAACCCTACCAAGTGTTGACCCAAGCGTTGTGAGTGTATTTGAGCAAAGGTATGATATACATCGATGGCAGTGCTCACACTGACTGAGGATTTGAGTGTATAATCCCTATTCAAAGTGGTGATCACGCCAGATTATGTGCTTCTCTCCCAGGAACTGTAAGTAAGATCCGCTGTGCCTAGTTGTAGTTTGACTGTGTGGGGGTTGAACAAGCGCAAATGTGACTTAGCGGGCGACCGCAACAGGGATTAGCTAAACAACATAGCAGATAGGCATCGTCGGAAAACGGACCAAAAATACTAATTACGGCAAAGTAGAACAAGCGTATAATCGCTCACCTAATCTTGTTGATAACAAAAACATATTTAAAATAACCGATGATCGAAAAAAAAGATAGGGAAACTTCGGTTCATGCCTTTCCACCGCATTATTACAAAATTAATATAAAACATCTTAAATGCCTTAGGATGGTAACGGTATAACTGTCAGATTGTGTTTCATTATTAATTAGTAAGGTCCATGACTTTTTAGGTATAGACTCTCAGATTTTGTTTTATTATCCAGTAAGGTCCATGGCTTTTTAGGAAAGATAGTGGAGTGTTTTTCCTTTGTCATTGCGACGGTTTGGTACTTGGTTATTCCAATGGGCTTTCGGATGCCCCACCTTCCATGAGTTGATACAATACAACGAGACACATGTCCTATTATACATTAGAGTAGGAATGACACCACAGTTCTGTGTCTGATCTAGCCTGACGGGAACTATCCCTCTTCAGGATAGTTTTGAATTCAAAGTTTTCTTTCTCTTAGAAAGGTTGCTAACCAAGGCTAGAGATCCCAGTCTATCCTACAACTAAACCCATAATTGAGGGAGAAAGAGACGGATTTATGACTTTCACAAAGAAACATATATGAAAAAAATGCAAACACATTACGCCCGAAATATGAACACGGCTAATCAACTCCACTGTTCACGCCAATACCGGTCACACAAGCGATATATCCTGCAGCTAATCAGGAAACAAATTTCATTCAACGATTTTTTAAGTATGTATGTATGTGTGTCTATGTGTGTGCTATTCGTTAGATAGATAGATAGATAGATAGATAGATAGATAGATAGATAGATAGATATGAACATTGTTGATTGATTTTTATGGCTTATCAACCCTTTGCCAGTTATTTAAAGACGAAACATATTTTGAAATGTAAGAATAATTTTTTTTTCGCGCGTTAATATTGCATTAACAATTTTTTTGATGATAGCAATGATTTTTTTCTAAATATAAGTACTACTGTTTAAACCACGGCTGTGGGTAGAGATGGAGGTATGCCTTTCCCAAGTATATTTTGTGAGTAAATAAATGTAACGAATCCGGCTAGTATATAAGAATTCGACAGATAGATAGATAGATAGATAGATAGATAGATAGATATGAACAGAATTAGATAAATAGATATAAAGATAGATAGATATGAACAGAATTAGATAGATAGATAGATAGATAGATAGATAGATAGATAGATAGATAGATGCGAACAGACAATACTTGTACTTATTTTTTGTTCCGTGCGCTTTCGGTTAGTTCTTTACCCATTGTCAAGGATTCTGCTTGTGCTATTGTAAATGCTGTATAAGCTGATGAAAGGTAGACATATTCTTAAATCCTGAATACCGTCAGTACATTGTGACTGTGTTCTTATCTAATTTTCTTAAGGTTTGGTTTTTATGATAAAGGCTTCAGTAATTTTTCTGTTGATGCATACAAGCAAAATAGAGCAAAGAAAAAATGAATAAATAAATAACGGAATCACCTCGTTAGCTATTTCTGGTGAAATAAATATTTCCTCTATACTGATGGTTCAGGTTCGTACTGAAAGACACATTCAATTTTAAGTTACATTGTACAAAATATACGGGATGTCTACTTAAATAAGTGCATCCATTAAAAATAACGTATCTATCAATCTGCCTACCTACATATACATATAGGTGTCTCGTGAATAACAAGCTAAAGAGTAGCCGTTCAAGTGTCAATGTGCCTCAAACTGCAAGTTGGATAGAAATAACTGGAGATATTTGCGCCAGAGTAGTATCAAATATTTTGAAATCAGTCGACAATTGAGCGGCTAAGAAACGAAAGAGAACGGCAGAAAGCGTCAGCAAATA